GACTATTATAAAATTTGAAATAACTTTTACTGGATTGTTATTACAAATGCGTTACAGGTATATTCTAGAAAATACAGATAAGATACAGACTTATTCTTCCAGTCCTTTTTTTCCACTTTTTAAAAAATCATTGTTTTTATCAGAAAGTTATATTTTTAAATTTTTTATTAATTAATTTATTTATTTTTGGCTGTGTTGGGTCTTCATTTCTGTGCGAGGGCTTTCTCTAGTTGTGGCAAGCGGGGGCCACTCTTCATCGCGGTGCGCGGGCCTCTCACTATCGCGGCCTCTCTTGTTGCGGAGCACAGGCTCCAGACGCGCAGGCTCAGCAGTTGTGGCTCACGGGCCTAGTTGCTCCACGGCATGTGGGATCTTCCCGGACCGGGGCACGAACCCGTGTCCCCTGCATCGGCAGGCGGACTCTCAACCACTGCGCCACCAGGGAAGCCCTCATGAATGGTTTTAAAAGATCTCCAGATAATGTTAATGTGGAAGCAGGACTAAGGCTCTCAGGTATACCATTCCTCCAAGACTCCCTAACTCTTTCTGAGAAGCAGGAGTGAAAGTGCTCCTGGAGGAGGCACAATGACAATGGTCTGGGTGGCTGGAACCCATCCCTGGCAAGTTGCCTGAAAACCAAATCCCAAAACCTGAATGCATCCACAATTCCCAACCGCCCATTTCCACCCAATGGAAGGAGTCATTGCCTCCTTGGAACTTTAGTTATTATCCTATCCCTTTGGGAAGATGAAAGCTGTGGGAAAACCAACAGAGGCACCAAGCTCACAACATTTGTTTCATGCCAAGTTTATGCTGTCATCTCTGCTCTGGTTCCTTAGCTTCACTCTAAAGAAATGGCATTGAATGTATCAGAAAGTGTCATAACATAAATGCTACAGTGTTATGATCACCATCTTCCTTCCCACCCTCTTCTAAAGGCTCCTACAGAAATTGTTTTTATCTTTTCAGATTTGAAGTGCTTTATAAAAATACTCAGCAAATATTTCAGCAAAAATAAATGTCCCTAAATAGCCACTCTATCCAGTGTAAGTCATGATCACCAGTGTTCCCCTGAAATGCCTAAAATAGAGTCTGCTAGCAGTTCCCTCCGAGGAGTGTCCTTGTTTAGCTAACCTAGTTAGAAGCTGTGAGTTTGTGCTTTTGGGTCCTGTGAGAGCCTTGTGTTTTTAAAATAATTTTGTCTAAAAACCCTTCTCATCTCTCAAAGGAGATTCATGATATGCAAATTTCCAGGAACTGGGAGCACTGAGCTGACCTGTTTGTAGAGGTACAGCTCTTGTCTGCACAACCCCAGGGAAGAGCCGTATTGTTTGTACCGGGAACAGTATCTGAGTAGAAGACCCTTTGGAGCCCCTCAGCCATGTTTCCTTTGGGCTGTGTTTCTCCGCTGGTGGCGTGGGCCGGTGTGGAGCCCCTTCTCCTCCTCTGACACTTTTGTCAGTCCCTTTAGAGCAACAGATGTGGAGGAAAGTTCCTGCATTTTAATCTGATTCCTGCCATGATTGGGGAGAGAAGCGGACATGGTCTTCACCTGTTGTGGAGAGAACATACTTGTATCAGAGTGACGAGAGTGTCCTCACGGCTAACCTCAGAAGTCAACTAAGACAGTGGCGATAAAGCCTACTGGTGCCTGTGATGACAGCAGTGACCAACTCATCCTGATTTGCCTGGGACTTTCACAGTTTCAGCACTGAAAAGGCCATTGTCCCAAGAACCCTCTCAGTCCTGGGCAAACCAGAGCAACTGGTGACCCTAGGTGGCAGCCCAAAGCCACCACTCTTATGATGTGGAAGGGTAGCCCCTGATGAGTATCATGATGAAATGTTATAAAATTTAAAATTAAAAAACCAAAGATTTCATGTACAGGAGTCAGATGGGTACAGCTATTAACCAAACCTCCATTTTCGGGAGAGATGAAGGTAGATCGGCTTCAGTTTCCGGTCCAGAGGGCCAGAGCTAAGACAAAGGACCCCACCCAAAGCAGCCAGCTGCGGAGGGTACTGGGGAGCTGAGGCCAGCACAGACCAGAGCCAGCCAGGGTGCGAGTCATGTGAGAGTCAGAGGGAAGAGGGCCAGAGCCACGGTCAGGAGAAGACTCCGTCTGCAGCACAGCAGGCTCACTTTCCTGGTCCAGGAGCCTGCCTAAAATAGGCAGGCAAAGGACAGATGCCTCAGGCAGCCACTGACTGCTACAGAGACTCTTTGAAGGATGAAGGGTAAAGAAAAATGTTAAATCATGTCCTTCTATACTATAAAAGGAATACATTTATAATGGAGGAAAATGTGAAAAGTACAGACAAATATAAAGAAGAAAATTAAAATAATACAGAAAGCCACCACCCTGAACAAACCATTTGTAATGGTGCCATATATATATATATATTTTATTGGAGTATAGTTGCTTTACACTGCTGTGTCAGTTTCTGCTGTACAGCAAAGTGAAATCAGCTATACATATACACATATCCACTCATTTTTGGATTTCCTTCCCATTTAGGTCACCACAGGGCACCGAGTAGTTCCCTGTGCTATACAGTAGCTATTAAACATAGTAGTGTATATATGTCAATCCCAATCTCCCAGGTCATCCCGCCCTACTCCCTTCCCCCTTGGTATGCATACGTTTGTTCCCTACACCTGTGTCTCTATTTCTGCTTTGCAAGTAAGTTCATCTGTACCATTTTTCTAGATTCCACATATATTCATTAACATGCGATATTTGTTTTTCTCTTTTTGACTTACTTCACTCTGTATGATAGCCTCTAGGTCCATCCACATCTCTGCAGATGACACAATTTCGTTCCTTTTTACGATATTGCCATATATTTCTTTCTCCCTAAAAAAGCCAAGAATTTATGTGGTCCAGTGCCAGCAAGTAATCAAAAGCCATTGAGATCTTCACCAGAGATTCTTAAAGAAAATCAAAGGGAATCTCATTTATAATCAATAGGAACACTTCTTAAAATTTTCTTTCCCATTTCCATCCTCTTGTCACCTCCCACACCCTGCAGCTTCCCCAAAACTCCTTAGCCCTCACTTTCACCTACCAGCAAAAATCTCTCATAAAGCCCAACATCAAGGGGTTTCTCTTCCCTTTTTCCCTTCCTCACCTTTTTCAAGTTTCTATTTTTCCTCTCAGAGACTCTGCTTCCATTCCCAATATTAAATTAATTAAACTTGTTTCACTTCCTTGCAGTTCATCTTTTCTTTCTGCCCATTTCCCCATTTCTACCTGGAAGAATCTGAGCTAAGCAGATACATTCCTTCCCCCAGAAATTGGAGGAGAAGAAGCCAAGCAATCAATGAGAGAATACTCTTTCATGAGCAACAGGAGGAAAAAATATTGCAAAATATGCAAAGGCCCATAATGTAACATCTTTTTTAAAAAAATCTTTAAATATTTTAAATATATTTTTCTACAAAACTCATTATACTGTAGGTGCAATTTTATATTGTGCTCTGTAAACTTTACATTAATGAATTCGTTCATTCAGCGAATAGTTTTGTGGGCTTACTGAATAGTTCTGTGGGCTTATGAAGGAAACATCAATGAACAAAATAGGCAAAAATTAATGCGCTCATGAAGCTTAGTCAATTAGTAAGAGATAGACAACAAATATAAAAGGAAGTTGTACATTATGCTAAAAGGTCATGGATACCCTGTAATTTTTTTAAGCAAAGTGGGTCAGGAGTGCTGGCTAGAGGGCTGGTTCCTTCTCAGTTCAGTGAGGTGACTTATGGACACAGCCTTGAGCGAAGAGAGGGCGTGAAGCATGCAGGTTGCGAGGAGGAGCCCTGCAGCGGGGACAGCACAGCCAATACAACGGCCCAAAGACTGGATGGTGCTTGGCATTTTCTAGGAATAACAAGAAACCGAGTGTGGCCAGAGTTTGGATGTAGGATGTAAGAGATCGAAGCCGTTGATAGTTCCGTGTTTTCAGCCTGAACGACTACAAGAATAGAGTTGCCATTAACTGATGTGAGGCGAATGGCGGATGGAGCAGATTCTGGGCGGAATCTGGGGTGCAGCTTTGGACATGTTGCGTTTTAGTTGGTTCTTAGCCATCCAAGTGGAAAAATAGGGGATGCTGTTGAGAAAAATATTTCCCTGAGTCTTTAAATATTATTAGAAAATCTAAATTTTAAATAGGTAATGCTTTATTATAAATTTAAAGAACTTAAAAAAGGGTATACAATGAAAACTAAGTTTATTTCCCTTTCCTCCACCTAGCCACCCATCTCTTCTCCCCAGATACATCCTCTTTTACAAGTTTTACATGTATCCTTCCAGAAACCGTCTACACTTTTATAAGTATACGTTTTCCTTTTCTCTCCCATAAAATTTTAGCATGATATGAACACAATTTTCCCCCATGCCTTTTTCACTTAACCAGATGTCTTGCAATATTTCCATATCAGTAAGGAAAGAGCATTGTCATTCTTCATAATGACATAATTTTCACAGTTTTCACTTGTATGAATACATGTAACGTATACAGTATTATTTTTAACTCCCTTGTTGATAGACATTTAAGCTTTTGTTTCCAATCTTTTGCTGTTACAAGCAGTATTGAAAGACATAATGACCTTTTTATATTTCATTTAAATGTGCAATTATATTTATAAAGTAAATATTTAGGAGTGAAATTATTGCTGAGTCAGAGGGTATATGCATTTTTATTTAGCTAGATATCACTACATTTCAATACAGCAGAGCATAAGAGGACATGTTTTCCCACACCATCCCCAACACAGTGTGTTATCAAATTTTTTATAATTTTCTGATACAGTAAGTCTGAAAAATTTTTTTTTTTTTTTTGCGGTACGCGGGCCTCTCACTGTTGTGGCCTCTCCTGTTGCGGAGCACAGGCTCCGGACGCGCAAGCTCAGCGGCCACGGCTCACGGGCCCAGCCGCTCCGCGTCATGTGGGATCTACCCGGCACAGGGCATGAACCCATGTCCCCTGCATCGGCAGGCGGACTCTCAACCACTGCACCACCAGGGAAGCCCTAAGTCTGAAAAAAAGTTTTAAGAAAAATATTATCCCACAGTCATATTGTTTATGGTTTCTGCAGCATACTTTAAAAGGCCTTCCTCTCTCTGAGTTTGCTCTTTTAAAAAAACTGCCCAATTTTTAAAGGTACATTTATAGTTTTTTTTTTCTTTAAATCTTTCATATAGAATTAATTGGGGGGAAGGTGTGAGGTAGGGATCCAGTTTTTCTTTCCAAATGGCTGCCCAGTTGTCCTAATATTTTTGCTCTCTGATCAGAAATGCCACCTATAAGATATAATAAATTCCCACATACTTTGGTGTTTATTTCTGAACCTTTTCTCCTTTTCCATTGTTCTGTCTCTCTCCTATGTTCCACATTAATTTCATTACTCAAACTTTACGTTTTGTTTTCATAGTTGGTTGGATGAATTGCCCCTCATTACTTATATTTTCTGACGTTTTGGCTTTGAACAGTGGCAGACTCTTGGCATATTAACACCTTTCTGACTAGAGAAGTGTTGCCATTTGACTTTCCAACTGGTGCTGTAATAGCATGGCTAGCTCACTACACTTCTGTGAGCACTAAGTATTTTGGGGTTCTTAAAAGTTCCATTTCATATTTCAAAAGTGGTGAATACTTCATTTTTCCTGTGTTTATGGTATTGTGGTATTCCTTCTGTGAATCATCAGGTCAGGACTTTTGCCCATTTTTATATTATATGTCCACCTTTTTCTTAAACTTTTAAAAGATGGTCATATAGTAAGGTTATAAAAGGAAACTTAGAAAAATATTCTCATATATTCACAACACAGTTCTTTTCCCTTTATTTTTTTTTTAAAGATTTTTTACAATGTGAACCTTTTTTTTTAAAGTCTTTATTGAATTGGTTACAATACTGCTTCTGTTTTATGTTTTTGGTTTTTTGGCCACGAGGCATGTGGGATCTTAGCTCCTCGACCAGGGATAGAACATGCACCCCCTTCACTGGAAGGTGAAGTCTTAACCACTGTACCGCCAGGTAAGTCTCTCTTTTCCCTTTAACGCAGGGGTTTGCAAACTGACCCGTGGGCCAAATCCAGCCTGCAACCTGTTTTTGTAAATAAAGTTTTATTAGAACGCAGCCATGCTCATTCATTCACATACTGTCTGTCTATGGCTGCTTTCTCACTACAGGGGCAGTACTGAGTACTGGGCAGTGACAGAGACCATCTGGCCTGTAAAGCCTAAAATATTTCCTATCTGGCCCTTTACAGAAAAAGTTTGCCGAGCTTCATTTTAAAGTATTATCTAAAGTTGTATTCGAATGTGTGTGTATTAAAACATTGTAACAATTGTTGAGAATCTATTGAGACTCTATTTCAAGCTTTCTCTTTCTATTTTGTCAGGTAGAGTTTTAAATTTTACTATTTAGTATTTGTCTTTATTATTTCAACAGCTGATCAATAATCTATCAAGAAGTAGTATCATTCACAAGTGGTTTAACCATTAATTGCTTATTTGACTACATGCTGCCTTATTCCTAATAGGATTAAGTCAGTTATTATCCTTCTGTTGTATAATGGTGTTCTTATAAATAACACCGAAATGAACACCTTCATACATAAGTCTTTCATCTCTTTGAGAGATGTCCGTTGGAAAAAAATATCCAGAAATAGTATTTGAAAAGCAATCGACAGTAATCTGAAAGGTCATCAAAATGGTCATATCCTTTAACTCACTTCTCATGTTTCTGGAAATGTTTTCCGGTTCAATAAGGCATGATGAGGCTTTTATTCTAGGAAATAGACATATATGAATGAGTCCACAGTAGCTGGAGGAAAAGAAACAGGCTCACAGACATAGAGAACAGGCTTGTGGTTGCCAAAGCGGTGGGGTATAGGGAGGGATGGACTGGAAGTTTGGGGTTAGTAGATGCAAACTATTACATATAGCATGGATAAACAACAAGGTCCTACTGTATAGCACAGGGAACTATATCCACTATCCTGGATAAATCATAATGGAAAAGAATATTTTAAAATGTATATATGTGTATAACTGAGTCACTTTGCTGTACAGCAGAAATTAACACAACATTGTAAATCAACTATACTTCAATAAAAAACAAAAAATACCTGGAGGAGATGGAGGGTAAGGGAAAGGATCTAGTACTCTTAAGGGCTTACCCTATGCTAGGCACTTTGTAAGAAATGTATACGTATCATGCAATTTAATCTTTACAAAGCCATTTGGAGTAGGTATTGTCATCCCCACTTTTCACCTAAGAAACCCAAGGATCAGAGAGTTTGACACAACATTGTAAATCAAATATACTTCAAAAAAAAAAAATTTAGGGCTTCCCTGGTGGCGCAGTGGTTAAGAATCCACCTGCCAGTGCAGGGGACACGGGTTCGATCCCTGGTCCAGGAAGATCCCACATGCGGCAGAGCAACTAAGCCCGTGTGCCACAACTACTGAGCCCACGTGCCACAACTACTGAGCCCACGTGCCTAGAGCCCATGCTCCACAACAAGAGAAGCCCCCGCAATGAGAAGCCCACGCACCGCAACGAAGAGTAGCCCCCGCTCTCCGCAACTAGAGAAAGTCCGCAGCGAAGACCCAACGCAGCCAAAAATAAAAAATTAATTTAAAAAAAAAGGATTAGAGAGTTTGGGAAACTTATCCATGCAAGTGGCAGGCCTGGGATTCAGATCTGCTTTACCTGTCTTCAAAGACCCATGTGCTTTCCACTACCATCCTTTAAGGTATGCATGAGTGTCTAAAGAAATATTGAGTGAACCCTTAGCAAATATTTCTGCCTGAATCTGAGTAGGCGCTGAGGAGACAGCAGAAGCAGACAGCGATGGCAGTGTGCTCCATTGGGCACCTTGGCTCAGGTCCACCCTCCCTCTCGTCCTCCCTTCCTCCCTTTCTTCGCCTGGAGTTCCCTGAGCATCAGTCTGACTCCTTTCCCCTCCCTGCCCTCATCTCTCTCAGGTTCCTGGAGCGCCTGGGACCCCAAGTCCCTTCTCACTGTCCCCTCGTGCTGCACCCAAGCACCATGCCCGCTACAGGCTCTCCTTCCACCCCGCCTGATTATCTGCCACCCCAAGGACATGCAGCCATGACCTTGGCATGTGGAGTTTCCACTGTGTCAATACCTAGGCCATTCAGGCAAAGCAGAGCGAGAATGGGGATGGGGAGGGCTTCCCTGGTGGCTCAGTGGTTAAAGAATCCACCTGCCAATGCAGGGGAAACGGGTTCGACCCCTGGTCTGGGAAGATCCCACATGCCGCGGAGCAACTAAACCCGTGAGCCACAATTACTGAGCCTGCGCGTCTGGAGCCTGTGCTCCGCAACGGGAGAGGCCGCGACAGTGAGAGGCCCGCGCATCGCGATGAAGAGTGGCCCCCGCTCGCCGCCACTGGAGAAAGCCCTTGCACAGAAACGAAGACCCAACACAGCCAAAAATAAATATTAATTAATTAATTAATTAAAAAAAAAAAAGAATGGGGATGGGGAGAACATGAGAACTCTGGGTGACACTAGGGCCCTTGCACTTAACAAATGGGCTTGTCAGTGTGTGAGTGTGTATATGTGTGTGTGCACTTTAATGACTGTTAGTTACTGTAGGGGGTATGGCTCCATGTGTGTGGTTCAGTAAATATGAGTGCGGGCATCTGTGCAGACAAACACGTACATGTATCTTTCTGCATGCATCTACATGCGTACCGGGGATGCCTTTTTACGAATGTTAGCGTGTATAAGCATATCTGTATTAGTTGTCATGTAGGTGAGAATTAAGCTCTACGGAGTGTCTTTTGTTTCTGAGAATAAAAAAATACTCTGCAAATATATATCTTATTGCGGGGAGGGGTGGGGCTAAATCTAGAAGCTAAGATTCTTGGGTATGACTGTTTCCCTAGAACAGGATGCCTCAACTTTGGCCTTACTGACGTTTTAGCCCGGGTGTTGTGGGAGCTATCCTGTACATTGTAGGATGTTTAGCAACATCCCTGATCTCTCCCCACTAGATGCCCGTGGCATGCCCATGCTGTGACAACAAATAATGTCTCCAGATTTTGCCAAGCATCCCATGATACGCAAAATTGCGCCCAGAGAACCACTGTCCTGGACCAGTAGTTCTCATCGCTGACTGCACGTTCAACTTCCCTGAGGAGCTTACAAATGCTCAGGCTCCACCTCAGGTCACCCAAACCAGGATCCCTGGGAGCTGGGGCCTGAGCAGCAGGAATTTTAGAAGCTGCTTGGGACTTCTCTAATGTGATTCTAACATGAAGCCTTGGTGGAGGACCCTTGCCTTAATCCAGTGGTTCTCACACTTGAGCATGCATCAGAATCACCCCGAGGCTTGTCAAAACACAGCCTGCCCAGCCCACCCTCAGAGTTCCTGATGCAGGTGGCATGGACAAGGCCAGAGAACTTGCATTTCTAACAAGTACCCCGGATGAGAACCACTACCCTAGAAAAGTGCCATTCAGACTTTGGTGTACACAGGGACAACCTGGAGAGCTGATTGAAAATGTCCATCTCTGCGCCCAAATATTCTGACTCTATATATCCCGTGCAGGGCTCAGGAATTAACTTTTTAACCAGCAGTATCCAAGGTTATTCTGATGCAGGGGTTCTGGAAAACCACTTTGGGAAACTCTGCCACATGTCAGACAGAAGTTCAGTGGCAGTGGGAGGTACTGGACTTGGTCAGTGAGGCCCGTTTTCTGGAAGCAGGCTCAGTAAGGATGGGGGTAGGGTGGCTGAAGCTGGGCTAGGAGAACTATCTCAGTAGCAGGAGCACAGGGACCAGGGATCATCTCTCACTGATTTCTAAACGGGAGGGAAGGGCAACGGCCCAGGTCAAGAATGCAGCACCCGGCCCAAACCCCTCCTACTGAACTACCATATAACCCAGGAATCCCACTCCTGGGCATATACCCTGAGAAAACCATAATTCAAAACTATACATGCACCCCAGTGTTCATTGCAGCACTGTTTACAATAGCCAGGTCATGGAAGTAACCTAAATGTCCATCGACAGATGAATGGATAAAGAAGATGTGGCACCTATATACAATGGAATATTACTCAGCCATACAAAGGAATGAAACTGAGTTATTAGTAGTGAGGTGGATGGACCTAGAGACTGTCATACAGAGTGAAGTAAGTCAGAAAGAGAAAAACAAATATCGTATATTAACGCATATATGTGGAATCTAGAAAAATGGTACAGATGAACGTATTTGCAAAGTAGAAATAGAGACATAGATGTAGAGAACAAACATGTGGACACCAAGGGGGGGAAGCTGGGGTGGGATGAATTGGGAGATTGGGATTAATGTATATACGCCGCTGGGTATGAAATAGATAACTAGTGAGGACCTACTGTATAGCACGGGGAACTCTACTCAGTGCTCTGTGGTGACCTGGATGGAGGGAAATCCAAAAGGGAGGGGATATGTGTACATATATGGCTGGTTCACTTCGCGGTGCAGCAGGAGCTAGACAACATTGTAAAGCAACTATACCCCAATTAAAAACAAACAAACAAAGAAGTGCTAAGAACTCTAAGAGAAGAACACCTATGGCTGCTGTCCTGCCCCTCAGATGCTGCCTAATCTATTGAGACCCTCATGACCTCACAGTTCCACCACGGGGGCAGTGCTCCGTGCCCAGGGCAGCCAACGTGCCCTCTCCCTGCAAGGCTGCTGGGCCCCCTCACTCATCTTCAGAGGCCCTGCATGGCCTTCCCTGAGCCTCAACCACCCTGAGGAATTTTCTGGAATCTCCTCATATGCTCCCACTGCACTATTAGGGCATTTTTCTTCCGGAATGGCTTGGTTTCATTGTCTTTCTCCTCCACTAGACTGTGAACAGAGACCACCTCTGCTCCTCTCTGTGTCCCCAGGGCCCAGTAGAAGAGGGTCAGCTTGTGCCAACTGCTCTATATGACCTAAGGCAGCGTACACACTCACCCCCATCACCTTCACAAAAGACTGGCTGCACCTTGACCAGGAAAGCTCT